CCCCAATCATCATTTTATCAAGGTTAACTACACACTTCCTTGGTAGTAAGTAGTCCAACCCTAATATGTATTGGTTGTCAATGTCAGCCAAGTATACTTCGTGTCTGTCCTTTATGCTCATGAGCTCAATAGTTACCCACACCAGTCCCCACGACCTTGCATAATGTCCTGTCACACCACAGAGCTTCTGTATGGCTTCTATTACTCCATTGTGATCCAGCACCTTGATGCTCACAAGGGTTTGCTGAGATGCAGAATCTATGACAAAGTTGCACCTTTGGCCATCCAGCTTTCCTGTCACGTAGACACTATGTGTGCTTACCAATTTACACTTAGCTGTTGGGACTTTCACGATGGGGGTTGGTGGGCATCCCTCAGCACCAACCTCTACTGGTTTCCCGAAGCTGATTAATTGGTAGTATTCTTCTTACACTGGCTCCTCATATGCCCTTGTTCTCCACAGTTCCAACAACCTTTCTGGGTAGCAGCCTTTCCTGCAGTGGCATCTTCCCTGTGTTGAAGTTTACCACATTGAGCTTTCTTGTACCCAGGTTTGTTACAGTGCCAGCAAAGTCCCTCAAACCTCTCTGAAACCTGACCTTTTCTGGCCTTGAATCCTGAAGACTGTACCAACCTTGGTACCTCTGTGCTGAACTTAACACATGATTCGAATTCAAGAGCTCTGGCCGTTGCATCATGCATAGTAGAGGGGTGTGCGTGCTTTACTTGTATGTTCAGTTGTAGACTGTTCAAGGCATCTACAAACTGATCCTTCAGCAACAACTTGAGGACATCGGGTGGCGCAGTTAGGTAGGCCTTGTGTGCCATACTTCCCAAATCCTGTGCCAGCTCTTGCAGGCTCTCCCCTTTAGCACGAACCCTCATCCTAAACCCAGCCCTGTAGACTTCGGACTGATTTTGGGTTCCATACCTGAGCTTTAGAGCAGCTACCAGTGCTCTATAGTTGTGCCTGTCGTCTACTGCCAACTGTACAAGTATTTCCAGTGGTTGTCCCTTCGAGCTCGTTGTCAGGTACACTGCCTTCTGCTCCTCTTTCCACCCATTAATTTCTGCCAGGAGCTTAAATTGTGCTCTATATGCTTCCCATGGTGCCTTTCCATCGAATTCCTG